AGCCCCTGGCACCACCGGCCTAGTGTCTCTAAGAGGCTGACCTCCTATACGCAGACTCATATAGTATTTGTGCTTCTGCGACCGGCTTATTTCACTTAGCATAATGTTCTCAAGGTTTATTCGTGTTGTAGCATGTGTCAGAATTTCTTTCACTTTTAAGGATAAATAGAGATCCATTGCATGTATCCACCACATTTTGTTCATTCATTCATTCTCTGATGAACACTTGGGTTGCTTCCCCCTTTTGGCTATTGTGAGCAATGCTGCTATGAACACAGGTGTACAAATATCTGTTCAAGACCCTTCGTTCAGTTCTTCTGGGGTGTATACTCAGAAGTGGAATTGCTGAGTCTTATGGTAATCCTACTTCTAATTTTTTGTGGAGCCACCATATTGTTTTCTCAGAGCAGCTAGACCATTTTACATTCCCAGTGTCTCTACATCCTTGCCAACATGTGTTACTTTCTTCTGTTTGTTTGTTTTTTATAGTAGCCATCCCAGTGAGTGTGAGATGCATTTGGGGGAACTTTTAAATACATTTCAAATTACTCATGTTCCAAAATTCTAATTCAGGGCTTAGGATCCTAGATTCCAAGGAGATGCACTCTCATATCCTACATCACTGCTGCTCACGCACGACCCATGAGGCAAGTGGGGAGCATTAAACCCATTTAGAAGTCAGTGCTGAAGCTCAGAACAGCTGAGCAGCTTGCCCGACGGAGCGTCAGGGCAGGGCCAGGCTCTGACGGGTGCTCTCCCCACTACACTCTGTGGGGCAACCTTCTGAGGACTAGGGCCATTCAGAGAAAACCGGGAAGAAATCTCTTGCACTAAAGCAATGCTAAATACAAGCCCACCAAGCAGATCACCACCTCAAGGGACCCCATGGGAGCTAAACCTCTGGAAGGCTGAGTTCTGACCCATGAGGCTGACCAGGCCTGATTTACTGCCGACTCCTAGGCACTGCCTGCATGTCCCTGAAGGGCAGTCCTCTGAGTTCCACTGTGATCACCAAGACAAGCAGAGGTGCAGGCCCAGAGGGCTGACTCCATGCAGCTCGTCTGTGGGGAGGATCGCCCCAGAGGAAATATGGGGATTAAGGAGTTAGAAGCAGCTTGAGCCTGGTTGATAAGTTCTCAAATAACCACTCAAAGATTTTTTTCCCTCTCCTCACACACACAAATTCTGGCACCAAATGCTTAGGACAGTACCTGCAGCTGGAGCAAAACTCTTGGGGGTTTCCTCACCAAGTCCAAGGTATTCTTTAACGAGTTGATTCAGCTGTTGGTAGGAAACATCCAGATCATCTACAGTAAATGAGAGAGAGCACATTAAGGCACCAGAATCCTATCAAAGTGCAATCAAGTTGCAGCTGTTGACAGTAATTTATTTTTAGCTCCATTTAATTTTATGAATATTGTAGTAGGCAGAGTTCTAGGATGACCCCAAGGCAAGGACAGGACCTGGGGACATCCCCAGGACTGAGGACAACACCTGCCAGAGCGCCAGCAAGGAAACAGGGCCGCAGTCCTACAACCACAAGTAACCGCATTTAGCCAACAATAGTAATATACCCTCAGAAATAAAACTTCACTGAAAGTTACCAACCTGCATTGATTACTGCATCAAAAAATCCTGGAAAATTCTGATTAATTTTAATATAATAGTCCACTCTGGAGACGGCAGAATCAATCTCTATACGACTGAATAATCCCTTTCTCCGCAAGTGCCCCTCATACTTTTTCTTGTTCATGGGTAGCACCAGGATATACCGAGGCTCAAAATAGGTGTGCTTCAGACTTCTCACACCCTACACATTAAAAAAAAAGATAACTTAGAAACAGATACAAGATTTAGAAATCATTCTGGCGATGCCTGAAAACATAAGATATCATCAGTAGGATTAAATTGAAGAATTTCTTTTTATCTCTATAATTAGCTATTATTTCCCTGTAAATATCTTATAATTGGATTTGGGTTACTTCTCCCTGGTCATCAAATATTAAATTATTGTTGGAAATATAAGAATTCATTCCACCAGGTACCCTCTAACTACTCAATCTAATGAGTATGACCGTCCAAAAAGAAACCTGCTAAATCCACACAAGGTGGTACTACATCTTTATGACTAAAAAGTAGCTTCAGTTCTACATTTCAAAAGGCATCCTGGCAGCATCAGGACAAAGATCTTACCAGAGAGAAAATGCTCCTCTGTTACCCTCTGTCATCTCCTTGGGACTCTAGCTGTTCCTCAGCCAGCCAGCCACCTGCCTGGCTACCCGACGGCTGAGCTCAGGACGCGGTGATGCCGGGAACTCACGGCAGAAGCAGCTGCAGGTAGTGGTGTTAGTGGGGTCAGGGTGAGGCCTGGGGGCGGGGTGAGGCCTGGGAGCAGGGTCAGGGCTGCGGCCCCGGCCCCAGCAGACCCACGCCAACCCTCACCTGAGCACGAGTCTCCTCATTAGCGAAATGAGAGAGTTACTCCAAATGGACCCTTCAGCTCTTTCCAGCTCAATCCTACCCCTGATAGCTTAACTCAGTGTTCAACATCTTTGTTTTAAAATTTCAGGGGAAGAAATACAGGCTTTCAGAAAAGCAGTTTCTAAAAGAGTCAATGACAAGAGCAGGTTGGGAAAATGCTTTCGCTGGAGAGAATCGGGAACAAAGCCTGGTTTAGGAACGAAACCTCTTGGAAATGAGCAGGAGAAGGCTCCAGGGGGGGAAGGCCGTGAACCAGGAGGAGCACTCAGAACCGCTCGACTGGGGACAGGTGAATACGGGGGAGGGAGAGCTTCTGGATCAGGAGGAGGCAAGAGCGTGACCCCTGTCGCTGAAGCTGGGGGCGCCTGCACCCACACAAGGAGCAAAACAGGAGTCACCGTCTCCGGCTCTATGAGGTCAGGAGGAAACAAGTTTTAAGAAAGACAGAGTTGGTAGTAAAGGAATACTAGACGTGCCGGCTTTGGTTTTCCGTTAAGTTTGGGCTAATATGGAACCATGTTTAGGATATATTTTTTTCTGCCTACAAAAGTGTTAGTCTGTGAAGGTGACTCGAAAACAAAAACAACCGTCCTTGAAGATTCAAATAGTAAAGCCGTATTTTTTAAAACACACGCGTGGAATACTCATGCTTTTACTCTGGATCTTCACTTCGGAGAAACTTGCGGATTAATGTGGAAGTTAGCGCAGGGAGGTGAGGTGCTGGGGCGGAGAGGAAACCCCCTGAATTCTGCACGTGTAACTTGCTAACAGGAAACACTGCGACCAGCGGACAAGTGGAGTCAAGGGCGGCACAGCCCGCACATCTCCCACGAAGAAAGAAGGGACAGGGTCACCTGCCCGGGCCGCCCCTGTCCTGGGGGCGCAGGGGACCGGCTCCACACCGTGAGAATCAGGCCTTCTCCAATATCCCTCTACAGAAACGGAGCCCGGGCTCTCAAAAGAAAAGGGGCAATTTCATGAGAAAACAGCTTAGAAAATAAACCTGGAGCGGCAGTTTTACGCATAATGAATGCACTATGAGTGAGACATTTATTATGTATTACATTTCTTGTATTGTCATCTAATTCCTGTCATTTAACTTTTCAGGTGTCTTGCCTCCCACAAGCTAATTGCAAACTTAAAATCTCACACTTTTGTAGGCATTCCTCTTGGGCCTAGCAGGGTGCTACCCACACGGGAGCCCCTCCTCAACCCCAAACATAAATATACAAACACACACACATGAAAAATAAGTTGATTGAAAGAAAAACACTTACTTCTATTTCCATGTGAACACAGCTTGCTAAACCATCTCTGGCAATACCTTCTATGGTGTCCCTGCTTAATCCATAACTGTGATTACCGTAATTAAATGTTAGAATGAATTTCCCCTGAAATTTGAGAAGTACAAAGATTTTCATGCAACAGCTGCCATAATGAAATTTAATATAAAGAAAATTACTTCATGTCTTACTTTTTTATATGATTCCATAAAACTTACCAATATTACCAATGATAAAACAATGGGCCTATGAACGTTAATATCAAACTGTCATAGAGAAATTTATTCAGGATTCTCTGCTGGCCAAAAAAAAATAGGTTTTTGGAAATACTGTGCTCACAAAATGTTAGAGAGAGTGGAATGCAGAACAGGTCATTTTGCTTACTTTCCCACTTCCTGCCAAACCTGCTCTGCAAACCTTCAATAGAGAGAGAAAAACATACAGTTTGCCTGCCCTCGGCCTCAGCCATGTCGGCTCTGCCAGCGAACCAGGGGCCCAGAGGAGCCTCCCCTCTCGAAAGCTTGCACTCCCCGCCGAGCGCGAGGCGTGAGTGACAGGCCAGCCTGGAACCTTCGGGTGCCGAGCCGAGCCGAGCCGTGCGGGGCAGACCTACCCTGCTCTCCTTATAAAGGTGGCGCCTTCCTGAGGCTGCCCACAGAATGGCTGTGTGCCCTGCTGCCCTCGGAAGTAGAAAGACTGCCATCTGCCTGTATTCTGGAAGCCCAGCCGTTCCCAAGCTGCGTTCCCTTGCAACAGCAGCAAAAAAATGCAAGTAAAAACACATCTTGCCCTGGCTGGTGTGGCTCAGTGGTTAGAGCGTCAGCCTGCAACCCAAAGGGACTCAGGTTAGGTCCCCTGGCCGGTCGGGGTGCGTGCGGGAGGCAACCAATTAATGTGTCTCTCTCACACCGATGTTTTTCTCTCACTCCTCCCCCTAAAAATCAACGGGAAAAGTATCCTCAGGTGAAGATTAACAACAAAACAAACAAAAAAACCACATCTCTCAAAACTGTCAACTTTTTCTCTGACAATATTATGGTTGTGAAACCACTAGGTCTAATCTCAGTTGGGAGGCTGACGACAGGAGTAAAAACGTGGGCAACTGACTCCTCAGAGGCATGATTTTGAAATAAACACTGAAGCGACGCTCCGAGGCTGGACCCCGCCAGTGGCAGCCTCTCGAGGGGAGCAGCGCGGGCAGGGGCCTCCCGCCTGCCCTGCGCCCCCGGAACCCCGACGTCCCGGCCGTGCGTGGGGGCCAGACGCTGCCTGTCGGGTGGGGCGGCAGAGGCCGGAGCCACGGTGGCTCTCGGGGTTGGGGGGGCGCCTGGGATGCGTCTGCTGCGAAAAATGAGGACACTCCTTCCCCTCAAATCAGGCGAAGTTTATGTCGTACATTCTCGAAGCTAAAGGCTCAACGACACGTATCCTTAACAACTTGCCCCCTCCGTGCCACACCCTCTTTGTTGTGCGGATCAAATACTGGGACTCCTTTTAACCTGTGTACTATGTCCAGGCAGATGGGTGGATAAACATACACACAGGCAGGGAGCTGGATTTTCTGTCAGGTGCGTCCTTTATCTTGTTTCCTGTGGCTCACCCTGTTTTCAAATGCACACTTGGACTGGTTTAAGATACACACTGTACGTGTACTTGTGGGGACACGGGCCTCCCTCTGTGAACCCCAGATACGTTTTCTGGGAGGATGGAGGGTGGGGAGGACTCCTGCACTGTCCTTGTGCATATAAAACAGCCCTGGTCATGTTTAAGGATTAGGATTAAGTGACCTCCTGCTCCTGGCTAGTGATCCTCCTTTCATTTCTCTGGGCCTGTGAATTTCTTAATAATTAGCAATAGTCAAGTTTCAGAAGCCTCCAGATCTGTGTAGGCGACTGGGTTTGTGGGCACGCTGGGGATGATCTGTGTGAGGGGAGGGTGTGCCTAGGGAAGGATGCGCC